TAGAAAAATAAAAAATATTTCATTTACGGAGGTGTTGTGAACATGAAATGATACAACAGCTAGAAAGCCCTCTGCCAGGCACAGGACGCTCGCAAATGATAGCAACTCAAGACAACCCTTCTTCCAGGGTGGCCCAGAGACGCCAAAAGGTTGGGCACCCGATCCCAAACTCTGCCGTGCAGGCGTGAACATGCATGGCATTCTTACTCTGTGGAGCTGTTCAATGATTCCCCAGTGACTACAGAATAAAGTCCAAATTCTTCACCAAGATTCTTCACAATCCAGTTCCAACTATCTTTCCAGACCCATTTCTTCTCTCACAAACCACCAAGATTCAGCTCAAAAGGGACCTCTTCCAAAAGCCAACCCTGATCTCTTCCAACCATGAATAATCTTTTTTTCTCAAGTGCTGAAGCTCTTCATATGAACTTCCCCTTAAGGACATTCATTTGTCACTTTATACTTATTCACTTAATTTATCTATCTATTTATTTATTTTTAGCTGTGTAGCTTGAAGGGTTTAATGCTACTGTGCATACAGGAGTATCAACAATCCATAAAGGTATATGGCCAGGAGAACAGTAGGGGATTTGACAATATTCCCAGTAGGAAGAGTAATGTCTTTATCATGTTTTCTTTCTGTTCTGTGATGAAAGTAAAGGATTCTACAGAACCACCCAGAAGGCATCACATAGGGGGCAAAAGTAGTTTTATACTCTAGGCCAAAGTGTGCCTGAGTATCGCAAGTAGACTACAAGAATGTGTAAATAATGAAGGCCAGCAAAGAACAACTGTAAACCCACTTTTGTCCATCCCTGTGTCTGATCTCAGCTAGAGGAAGTGGTGCACTGGCTTTAGGTTTTTTTTCTCTCTGCGAAGGCAGAAAGCTGCAGAGGAGCAGGGGCGGGCTCGGGAGGGGTGGATGGGTAGGTGGGGACATGTTATCCTTGCTGGGCTTAATAGTCCATTATCTTGCAGGGTGCTGCACCCACTCTTCTGTGGTTTCTCCTCCCATTGATCCGTTTTGGTTCAGCTTTCAAACTGGGACTTGAAGAGGGGAGGGAGCTTTCACTTTCTACTTTAGACTGGACTATGTCTATTTATAGCTACCACTTATTAAGCTCCAACTACACATCCAAGTTCTATATTAGGCTCACATCTATTTCTTCTGACCAAAATAGCAACTCTCAAACAGCAATGGAACTAACCATATTTAGATTAAAAAAAAAAAAAAAAAGGCAACGAAGAAGCTGCCAAGTCGCAAGAAGGAAATTGAAACACAGGACAAATTTCAAAGCCCAAGTTTTCCTCATGATGCCTTCCATGGCTTCATTCATGGCCCTTGACTGATGCCCCAAGGAACTTATAAATCCCCTGTTAGTGGGTTCAGTCTGATTTATCTTTGTTATCCTCACAGACCACAGTCAAGTTGTTTGACCCTGATGGACTTCAATTCTTCAGCTATGAAACCGGGAGTATCAAAGAGCCCGGACACACAATGAGCAGAGATCAACTCATTTGTAAATGTTTCCTAAGCATTTTCTAGGTACCAGGCACTGTTTTAAGCGTCTCATCGATCCACATAATAAGCCTATGAGAAGTACCATTATTATTAAGTGCCTTTTATACCTGAAAAATAAGGTAAAATTAACTTGTACCCAAGATTAACAAAGCTTTTAAGTGGTGGCAAAACTTGAACCCTGGCAGACTGGTTCCAGAACCCATGTTCTCAACCAATATGCAATAATATCTCTGCAGAGATTAGGAACCCAAGAAAATCAACTGAAAAAAGACATCAGAAATGGTAACAGACTTTCACAATGTAGGCACTTACAGAATTAATATGTACAAATAATATATATAATGTACACTAATCAGTCTCATCTAATCACCAAATTAATTAATGGGATAAAAGATACTATATACTAAACAAAATGGGGGAAAAACAACTAAAATATATAGAAATAAACTTAGTAAATATGCAAAATATGCACACATACTATAAGAAGGACATTTAAAAAGTCTTAAGTAGAGAAAAATAACACTTCCCAGCAGGAGAGACTCAGTAATGGAAAGGAAGATAGAGGTCCTTTTCTCCAGAATATCTCCATATTTAATATAAGGTCAATTCAATTTACGTCAAGAGGAAGTGACCCAGTTCAATACATGGGCACTTTCATATAAATTGGTGCAGTATCTATAAAAATGTTGTATGTACATCCCCTTTGACATAGAAATTGCTTGTGGGAATCTACCCTGCAGAAATGCAAGCATATGCTACCAAAGATGGACAAGGAACGTTTAGGACGGTTTTGTCTGCAATAATAAGAAAGAGAAAGAGAAAGAAGAGGAGGGGCAGGCAGGAAGGAAAGGAGAGGAAGAACAAACTGCACAGCAAGAAAATGCCTGGCAACAACAGGAAACAAGTATTTAGGATAATTACATGAAAGGATGGTAGGGGCCGGCATTAAAAAGGTTTAACTATCCTGACAAGAGTCTTAGCTAGGTCTCTGCTATGAACTGGATGTTTGCGTTCCTCAAAATTCGTCTATTAAAACCTGATCCCCAGTGCGATGGTACTTGGAAATCCGGTCCTTGGGAGGCAACTACGTCCTGTTCCTGGCACTCTCCAGCTGCGACCACTGCTCTAAGAGAGACAGGAGAGAGCCTGCTTCCTCTCTCTGCCCGGCCAGCAGGAAAGTGGTCATCTGTACACCAGGAACGGGCCCTTCAGCGCAACCCAAGTACTGGCACCCCGATCTCAGACTTCAGCCTCCGGAACTGAGCAATGTTTCTGCCGTTTAAACCACCTAGTCTATAGTAATTTGTTATGGCAACTGAGCAGATTTTAAAAGTCTCTCCAGGGAAAATGCAAACTATGCCAAGGCAAATTGTAGAGAAATAGTCATAGTATGATCATTGTATTTTTAATGGGGAGTATAACTTAGTGAAGGAGAAATGATGGTATATGGGATGGAGGTTTCCTATTTGGCTTTCCATACTTTCGCAAAAAGCATGTATTACTTTTATGATCATTAAACGTTCTATTTAACAAACACTGAGTCCTGTGTCGGGCACTGGGAGGGTGAATATGACCCTTGTTATCAAAAACCCCGTAGACATCCAAACATGCTTTTGTCTTGGTGGAGCAGAAAGAGGTGGGTTCCCTCAAGCAAAGTATTCTCAAGATCATCTGGAGTTAGTACTAATAAAAACTTGGAGGAAATGCTCACTTTGGTGGCACATATACTAAAATTGGAAGGATATATTGAAAATTAGCTTGGCGCTGTGCACTAACATTAAGTTAATGTAGTACTCCGTAATTTTATTGTTGTGATGGTGGTTATATCTGACAAAAATTCATCAAAATGTACATTTAAACTGTGTATTTTATTGCATGTAAACTATACTTTAATACAATTTTCCTTAAACCCAGGAAAATGATGATGACTGGGTAATAAAAAAGAATCTGCCGAATCAGACATTAAACATATTATAAACCTTCAGTAATTCAAATTTGGTGCACTGGCACCAACAGATACTGAAATAGAGGCAAAAATCGACAAACAGATACAGATATGTAATAATTTAATCTATCATAATTGTCGCAACTTAAATCAGGGGTTAAAAAAGAAAGGCTTAATAGCTTTGCCACAGCTGGTTAACCATTCAGGAAAAGTAAATTAGCTCTCCACTTTACAACTCAACCTAGAATAAATTCCAGATTAAAATTTTTAAGCAAAAGTTTTAAAAGTACACGAAGAAATTACAGGACAATATATATGTAAACTTGGGTTAGGAAAGGCCTTTTTCAGCAAGGACCTCAAGCACAGTCCGTAAAGAAAAGGAATAGATTTTAGTTACTAAAAAAGTTAAACTTGCATGTGGTCAAAGACGAAAAATTGACAAAAACACTAGGAAACCGAGAAAGACAGTGCAACATAAACTACACAGTTACTACTTTAATGTGTAATATATAAAGAATGCTTAAAAATCACAAACAGAAACTCAACTGGAAAAGGGGCAACAGAATTAAGTCAGTCCACCCCACACAAATGCAAAAGGCCAAAACACATTGGGAATCAGACATGCAAATTAAAACAAGATATTATTTTTGTCCACGTTATTGGTTAAATTGTGTGTACGCAGAGAAAATTTTAAGATATCCAGAAAAATCAAAGAATCTAGAAGATGAAGTTTTGTTATCTTTATTTTCTCCTTTACATTTTTGTTTCCCGAATGTTTTGTAATAAACTTTTCCTTTTAAAAATTCTATTAACTTTAATAATGTTAGGTGTTAGACACACATAGTTGCCTCTCTTTCAAAGTACCCGGTGCAGTGTATTCTAGAAATGCACCCCTAGGAAAAGCTATTCCCCCTTCCAAGGTTTAGATCTGCTGGGGAGAAACCGCACGCGCACACACACCTGCAGGTTCTGTTAATGGTCTGCATAGTGAGATCACAGGAGCCGCCCTGCGAACCTCGTCTGGGAACCCGGGACGTGCAGGGGAAGCCCGGGGTCACACCCACCCTGCAGGAGCTCTCGCCCCCGAACACCGCGGGCGCATTGCGGCACCGGCAACACTCGCGCCCAGGCCAGGAAGAGGGCGAGACCAGCCGGGATGGTCCTACCTAGCCCTCGTGGAAAGAGAATGGGAGAGGAAGACCAAAGTCCGGGATTTTGTTTGTCGCTGACCTTGGGCAGTACCTGCTGAGCTTGGGCCTCAGTTTCCCCCAGGCCAAGGCTAACGGTCTTGATCGCAGCGCTGGCTCCCTTTGGCTGGTCTTTCCAAGGGACGCCTTTTCTTGCCCGGTCGCCTTTTCTCAACCCCGCGCTGCGAGGTCACCCGCAGACACCCATTACCGCAGCAGCGCATTAGGCGGGGTGCCCGGAAAGCCAGAGAGGTGGACGTACCGCGGACCCTTACCGCTCGCGGGCGGCCATTAGGCAGCCCCGTCTGGATGGGCAGGAGCCGAGTGAGGAAAGGGGGCGTCTTACCTGGACTCACACAAGCCCGGGCGGCGCCTTCCTGTCGCTTTTGCGGCGCAGCCCCAGCGGGTGAAGGGTGGGGAGGCGCCCTCGCTGGAACGATCATTCATCCCTGCGCTTACGCCGGCCTGTGCCGTGCGGTGGGAAGCCCTTCCGAGGTCCCCGCAGTCTTGTGAAGGGAAGCGGCCGGCGCCGCGGGCTGGCCACAGCGAGCCCGCCTACCCAGAGCGCACGATCCGGGGCACAGGCCCTCCCTGGCCGCGCCAGCCCCTGGAGCTGCTCACCGTGCCAGCTGCAGCCACCCCTAATCCTGGTCTCCTCGATCTGGTGTCTCTACGGGGTGGGCGCTCCCGTTGCGATGCCAAAGGGACTGGGAAGATCTTGCGCAGCGGAATCTTACCGGGTGGGGGCGGTTAGTTCCATCCCCTGCGCACCCGGAGTGCCGTCGCCTCTGGTGTCGCCTAGTCTGCCTGACTCAATCCCCTGGAGGAGCCATTGCGGGACCCTGAAGCCCCAGGGTACAACGCGGTTTGGGGGCGCGCCAAAGCCTCACCGCCTCCCGCGCGGCACAGCTCCATGTGACCTGTGGGCTGCGGGGCTACCGCATCCCCCCAAGCGAGCTAGGGGAAACAAGGACGGCAAAAGGCGCCAACTGATGGGCGGAGAGGGAAAAGCAGGCTCAGGGAAAAGGAAGTTGACATGAGGGAAGGATTGAGTCTCTCCGCTGTTCACAGCCCCAGCTTGCTGTCAACCCTGTTCTCTCTGCTGGAGGAATTTGTTTTTGCCAATAATAAAAATAGTAGCGGACACCACTTCCACCACCAATCCCCCAAATACCCAGCGTTACCCCAGGCACATTATTAACATTCCTCTAGCTTTCACTTTATTCCTGTACATAGAGATTACTATTCTCAATGTGCAAATAACGAAAGATTTGAGAAGATAATTTAGCCAAGTGCAACCCTTATTCCAAAAGCCAAAAATGTAAATATTTATTAAAAAGCAGAAAAGCTTGGTCTAACCAGATCACCTAGCCAAGCATGGGACTTAAGTGCGTAGCTCTTTCCAGTTAGCTGTCAGACTCCGGGAGGAGAGTCTTTGGTGGTTCATTTGAGTCAGAAGCAGTGCCCATCCCCCACCCTTAATTTTGACAGATAAACAATAACATATCCATCCTAAAGATGGAAAAATTGAGGTTTGGCCAAAGGAATGATCTTGTCCATGTGACAGAGCTTGTCAATCCAGTCTACTAGTTAATAATGGAGTGGTTATTTACCAGGCACTGTGTAACACAGAATTCATATGATTTTAGCACTCACAGCAATCTTACAAGAAAGCTGCTATTACTATTCCAAATTAACAAAAGAAGCTCAGGGGGATTATTAATTTGCTTAAGTTTACACAGCTATTTAGCAGCAGAGTTCAGGTTCAAATTTACATCTTGTCTGTTTACAGAGCCTTCACCTGTCTCCAAAAGCCGTTGTTCCCCACCCCCCCCCAACATTGTGCCACTTTTCACTCCTGTTGCTTCTGGATTTTTGCTGAAGATAAATAGTATATCTATCATATATCCAGAGGTACAGAGTATTGTAACAGCATTAAGCCCAGTATTGAGCTCAGTTTCAGGCATCCTTTTGGGTGATGTAAATGGCAACTAATAAACTGAAGTCTCTATCAGCCAGTGTCTGGCTTTCTGAATATAGGGCCCACGCCATACCATTTATGGATCCTGATGCTTCTCCTGAAGCGCATCAGACATGATTATTAGGGGCAAGTCAAAGGTGCAAATATTTTTGTCAGCATTACAAAAATGTCCTCAAGTATAGGCAGTCCTCACTTTTGCACAGTAGTGCAGGACTGTAGAAGTGATTGTGCATGCCGAAACCATACAAAGCCATTTTAACGATTAATCAGAAAACTTATGCTTATTCCATGACCTTAACTTTTTTTTTTTTCCCCAAAACTTTAAATACTCTCTTGCTATTAGTTATAAAAATTTTCTTACTCTCTGGGAAAATAAAAAACAATAGTCAAACTAATATTTACTTAGTACATTATAATTAACATTTTAGAAAACATTGACAATTAGATATTTTATTTCTTGGCCAAAAAAAATCAAGAATAATTTGAATAGTGCTTGCCTTTTGTATAAATTATGATGTGTAAATTGTTTTCTAATAAAAGAGGTACTCTTTCTTTTCTTTTTATAATATTTATTTTTAGAGAGAGGGAAAGGGAGGGAGAAAGAGAGGGAGAGAATCATCATGTGAGAGAGAAACATGGATTGGTCTCTCTTTCAGCCCTGGATGAACCTGCAGCCCAGACTTGCTCTCTGCCTGACCTAGAACCGCACCAGCAACCTTCTGCTTTTTTGGATGACCCCCAATAACAGAGCCCCACTAGTCAGAGCCATCTTGAATTCGTTATTGGCCGCTTTGAGAATCTGTCTTTCTTAGCTTAAATTCTTGGTGTTGCTATTGAAAAAGGCTTGTCTCATCAATATATAATATTATGTGATCTTCATAACCTCCTGTGTGTCCTTATTTCCCCAAAATGCTGACTCTGACCTTGAACAAAACTTAAGGTTTTATTTAGTGCTGCTCTCAGCCTATCAATAACCAATGTTGTGTTTGGACTGGCCCCTGTGGTTCTTATTATGATTGCAAGACACCCTTTTGCAATAACCATCAGGAAACTTTGAAAACAATAAAGGTTTATTATTTATGGGACCTGGAAATTCCACAGCACACCCGAAGCCACACAGCCAAGCCTCTGGCAGGGAGACAGAGGGTGCATGGGCCGGGGCTTCTGCTTTTATAAGCATTAAGGATGGAGGCCTAGGGTTTTGGGGCTTATTCTTACTGTTACTTTAAATCTTAAAAGTAACAGTAAGAATTTAAAGCTCATGAAGGGAAAAAATATAAGCAGCCCAAAATGGTCACTCACTGAAATCAATGAAGCACTCTTAAACAAAGGAGCCTCAGTCCGGGAGGAAGGTGAGGCGGCCTAGCTCTTTAGTCTTGTTGCTGGAAATGTGTTTATGCCACATAAGCATCATTGAAGTGGATGCTTCTTTGAAGTTTATGTCCCAGCAATCAAAGTTTAAATCATGCACTTGTGTTACAAAAAAAGACAGAAAAAAACAACTGTCAGTACTTACACTATGGCACAACCTAGTGTTAAACAACAAAATTCAACTCAGTACATTTGGAGGTCTAACTGACTTTAAACAATGAGCTGGGACAGCATCTCATCTAGCAGGCAGAGAGAGACTCCAGGGGGTTGCACAAAATGGAAACTTTTTATAGGAAGAGGGATGTGGTAGGGGAGTTATTAGTAAAGGAAAACAAATGGATCGGGTTTAATGGATTATTTCTAGAGCAGGACATCTTAACTTTTGGATGGAAGGGAATGGCAAGGGTTTTTATCACGGAGATTGCCTCTCCTTCCTTTGGGAACTGGGAGATAAGGAGAGGGCAAATGTGACAAATGAGCTTACTGGCGCTTCGAGACTGGTTGTTTAAGATTTTGTTTCTGGGAGAGGCTGAAACTGCAATTAAATCAGGTATTACCTCTAGGCTTGGTATCTTGGGCGTTAGCTCAAGTAAAGCTTTTGAGGCCTGTGGTTCTCTTCAACACAAGCAAGTCAGCTACAAACAAATAAGTTTACTCAATGAAATGGAATGTGAGTTTTAGTAACAAAAAGACAATAGAAAACAAGGTACTTGTTCATTCATGCCTTATAAACTGAGCTGTGGGCGGGCTGCTGGCCTGGTCCCCAGGGCGTCCCTGGCTCTCCATGCCCAGAGGTGCCTGAGTCTTCCGCAGCTCCCTGGTTCTCAGCGATCCAAGCGGGCGGGCTGGCCCGGGCTGTGGAGGGCAGCTGCTGCGTTCCTCGGCGCGACCCTTCGGGGGACCGAGTGCACGTTGCTCGGCGCCGCAGGCTGGTCCCGCCGCGTCCTGTGTAGCAGTGATGGTGGGCACCTCTGCGGCCCGCGAGGCGGGCTGGGCGCTGCTAACTTGCCGCAGGGCACCCCAAGAGGACCAGGAAAACATGAATCCCGAGAAGGCGTCGCCCGCCCAGCAGCCCCGGACCCGGGCGGGGCTGGGCGGGAACCAGCGGGGTGCAGCGCAGCTGCCGAGGTCCGAGACGCCACGGGTTGCACCGCTTAAGGATTTTCCTATTACTGCTGAGCATGCCATTGTTCCTTCCTGCAACGCAAGCAGTAAACAGCCTGCACTTACAATCGATGTGAATGAAGAGGAAGAGACTCAAAAGAGGCCAGGTGAATCTAAAAACCAGAATGTGAAGATGCCCTGGCATTTATCTCAGCGATTACATTACCTGAACCGAGAAAACCACTGATACCTCTTGATTATCTGATGGATGGCAGTTTTGAGTCACCACACACTATGGACATAATCAATTGAATTGGAAGATGAAAAGCCAGAGAGTGTTAGTGAAGTTCCAGACTACCTTGAGAACATCTACACATACCATAGGTAAATGGAGATTCAATGTAAAGTGGGTTACATGAAGAGACAGCCAGACATCGCCAACAGTGTGAACCCTATCCTTGGGGACTGGTTAGTTAGAGGGGGAGAAGAACATAAACTACAGATGAGACCCTGCCCTTGGCTGGGAAATACATAGATAGTTTCCTTTCATCCATGTCTGTGTTGAGAGGAAAACTTCAGCTTGTGGGCACCGATGCTATGCTTTAGCCTCAAAGTTCGAAGAAATATACCCCCAGAAGTAGCAGCGTTTGTACACATTACAGATGATACCTGAACCAAGGAACAAGTTCTAAGAATGGAGCACCTCGTTATGAAAGTCCTTGCTTTTGACTTAGCGGCACCAACAGTAACTCAGTTTCTCAATACTTTCTACGCCAGCAGCCTGCCAACTGCAAAGTTGAAAGTTTAGTAATGTTTTGGGGAGCATTAAGTTTAATAGGTGCTGACTCATACCTTAAGTGTGCCACTAGTTCTTGCCGGAGCAACCTTTCATCTAGCACTCTGTGCAGTCACAGGACAGAGCTGGCCTGAATCCTTGGCATGAAAGACTGGATGTGCCCTGGAGGGTCTGACTCCTCCTCGCTCGGACCTTCACCGAGCCCACCGCAGAGCATCACGGCACACACAGCAGTCAACCGGAGAAAAGTACAAAAATTCCAAGTATCATGTCTTTCTCTCTTCATCCCACTGGAGACACTCCATGAATAACATTGAAAGACTGCCTTTGCTTTCTAAGATTTAAGTCTCTCTAAGCTTATGGTGTACAGTTTTGATCTTAGGTTTTAATTTTACAATCATTTCTGAATACAAGAGTTATAGTTAAGTGCAAATGATGGTATCTATTACCGTTTAAATGGTTTTAATTTGTATATCTTAGATATGTGGCCAATTTTAAGTGATTTTGTTAAAATATTAATGATGTGAGCTGTCAGGAGAGTAAAAATAAGAATTAATTGAATTGATTTGGGAAAAAAATAAAAGCAAACTGAGCTGTAACTACTAAGACCTGAACTTCTTTTTTAAATATATTTTTTTTCTTTTATTGATTCTAGAAAGAGGGGAAGGGAGGGAGAAAGTGAGGGAAAGAAACGTACATGTGAGAGAGAAACATC